AAAAAAAATAAGAAAAGTATACAGTAAATTTTATATATGAAGGGTATGATAAAAAGGTTTGTTTTTTTTTTTACAGTCTTACTTTCTGGTACAAAGTCGAACATAAATTTTGTCCTCTTCAGATCAAATTGAAAAATTTAATCCAAAAAAATAAAAAATATCTCACATTTATTTATTTCAATATTCGCAATATTATTTAATTAACTCCTGTTTTGTTTTTTTCGACGATTTCATTTCAAATTTAACAAACATGATTCAGACATTTGTTTAATAATGAAAATTAATTTTGAACATTTACAGTCATAATTAAATTTTCATAATTGAAAATATGGCCGTCATAATACGTAATGATCGTTGATTTAAATTCGTAAATCATTCAAATTTAATTTCAAATTTAACAAACATGGTTCAGACATTTTTTTAATAATGAAAATTAATTTTGAACATTTACAGTCATAATTAAATTTTCATAATTGAAAATATGGCGGTCATCATACGTAATCATCGTTGATTTACATTCTTAAATCATTCAAATTTAACAACATGGTTCAGACACTTGTTTAATAATAAAAATTAATTTGAATATTTACAGTCAGAAGGAAATTTCAATTTGAAAATATGGCGGTCATAATACGTAATCATCGTTGATTGAAATTCTTAAATCATTCAAATTTAATTTCAAATTTAATTTCAAATTTAACAAACATGGTTCAGACATTTGTTTAAAATAATGAAAATTAATTTTAAACATTTACAGTCATAATTAAATTTTCATAATTGAAAATATGGCCGTCCATACTTAATCATCGTTGATTTAAATTCTTAAATCATTTGTTTTTATATTTTATTCTATATTTTGTTATGTAACTTTATGTATATCTGTGTATGTATGTATGTATGTGTGTTTTATATTTTTCTTTGGCTTATTTTATTTTTTTTATTTTTCCATTTAATATTTTTCATTTAATAATAATAATTTTACTTATAAGCGTATCTCTTGACTGAGAATTATCAAAAATTGTGGAAGTAATGGTTCCATAAATATGAAAAAACACTTTTGTACGCTTTTAATTAATTACTTTAGCCCATTATTAATTGAATTAACAATTGTAAATTAATTTTTTTTTTATTTTTTTTAATGAAAAATGCATCCCAGAAAAAAAAACCATTAATATTATATCGCATTATTATTATTATTATTATTAATTATTATTAATATTACTATTATAATAATTCGATAAATATGTACTACGTACATCTTTTTTCTTCTTATTTTTTTTTTCTCTTATAGAATATTTAAACAAAAAAATATAAACAAATTCTAAAATATTTAAAATATTGAATGTATATATCAAAGTTTTATCTTTTTTGACTCTCTCTCTCTCTCTCTTTCTCTTTCTATTAAGTGGACCAGAAAGTAATGTCGTTTTATAACCTCAAATTTCAAAAACAAACAATTCAAACAACTTTGTATTATTAATCAATAATTAATTAATTAAATTTATTATTAATGTTATAAACCATCTTCTTGTTTATCTGGTATGTAAATTTTTAATATAAAATAATTATAAATCATCATTTTTGTTTTAGTGTTTTTTGATTTGAAATATTAGAAATCATTTGACATGTGTAGTAACGACGCCATTACTTTTGGGTCCCCCTAATATATAATATATATTATATATATGTTTTTTTTTTATTTACTTTCCTTTTCTATTCTTCTTTATAATACCATGTATATAATTTAGAATATTTTTAGACTTTTTTTTTATTTTTTATTTTTTATTTTTTATTTTTTAGAAAGAGAATTTAAAGTTTTATCTAATTGAAATTCGTTATACTTGTTAGAATGTTTTTAGATTTTTCGTCTTCTCATCTAATATTTTGTAGAAACTAAAATAAGGATTGATTTGTAGAACATTATCTTCATTTTCTTCTTCTTCTTCTTCTTATTATTTTTCTTTGAAGATTGACAAATAATTGAATAATAAATTGGTGCATAAAATGCATAAGAGAACAGGGCTTGTTAAATGTAGAAATGGCACAGTTTTGACAATAATTTTTTTGTTTACTATCTAAATATTGGGACCTCTGACAGGGACGTGACGTATCAATTCGACCTATGTACTCTAATTCTGAATTTAGCCACCAGATAGCGTATTCATGTGCTAGAGATCCCAATACTTTTGAGCCGACTTATTTTATTTTTATTTTTATTTTTATTTTTTTTTTTAGAAAAAGAAAGTATTTTGTTTAGTCGATAAGTCGTTTAGTTGTTTTCTTTTTACTAAACTACACATTTTTTTTTTTTTTTTTTTTTTTAATTTAAGATTACATGCCGCCTGGTTTTGGAAGATTTGTATCATAAGCTCTGATCACATCGGTCTGTGTCACTGATCCTCCTTCCTCTTGAGAGAATGCGAATCCATCTGTGCATCACGCAGCATGCGCAATAACATATTACGCAAACTATTAATCTCTGTGTTGTATAGAAATGATTAGTTATTAATTATTAATAAACATGCATTTGTACAAAACAAAAATAATCCCCTTTTATAAAGCAGTTAACTTACTTGTTATAAGTTAATTATATCATTTCTTCTTTTTTCTTTTCTTTTTTCTTGGGTTTACAATCTTAATCTTAATCTTAATCTTAATCTTTTAAATATTGTTTTAAAAAAAAAAAGAATTAATGTTAAGTAATTGTTAATTTAACTTTACTCTTATTAGATATATTAAATTTATATATGGATATATATACAAAAGTATATTTATATATAAATTTAAAAAATATATATAAATTTAAAAAATATATATAAATTTATATTTATAACAAAAATTATATTTATATATATTTATAAATTAATATTAATATAAAAATTTTAAATGTATATAAATTTATAATATAAAAATACAATTTATATACATATATATACAAAAGTTATTTCAATTTAATTTATTATATACATATGTATATATATATATATAATAATTAATATATATAATATTTATTATATTATTTATTATTATTATTATATATAAATTTAATATA